TCGGCAAAATTCTGGTAGAATTTTGCAAAAATCTGCAGGATTTCACAAATTTCTGAGAAATGCAGATTCCAAATTCTATCAGCTGTTCAAACCTTTTCCAGATTTGTTCTAGGTTGTATGGTCCACGAGAAAAATCTAAAATAAAGGTGGCGAGCAGTTTTTTAGCCATTCTAGGTTAAAGCGGTGAGGGTGAGGGTGTGTGTCAAGCGTGTCAAGAATGGAAGATGTATCGAATGTTTTTGGAGCTATTTCCATTGCTTTTTTAGTATGAATTATATCTTCAATATTTCATCAGTATCTCATCTACTTTTTACAGTTAAGCTAACATTTAGTTTCTAAATACAAAAACCGTCTTTTATTTAAAAAAAGTTAATTTTCATGGTTGTTGTCACACAAACAACCAGGAGGAGGATCATAAAAAAGACCAGGAAGATGGGAAAGAGGACCACCAAGTTGACCAAGACCATAAAAATGAAGATAATGAAAATAATGAGGAGAAGAAAAACGATAATAACATGTTGCGCCACTACGCTTTCTGAAATCATAATTATTACTGATCCAACAGTTCTTATCATCTTGGTTCCAATTCTTGTAATTTTGGATCCAGCGCCAGGTTTCTAGGTCGCCCTTAAATTGCCAATCACGGCATTTGCCGCAATTGGCACAAGGACGATCTTCACAATGAAGCTCTTTGTAAGTGCCGGGCTTAGCAAATTCTTGAACTTCTAAATGAAAATTAGAAGCATTTAAAATAATTTCAAAAGAACCTTGACAGCTTTCCCTTCTGTGAAATACGATTGATACTTAGTGAGAAGAATGTAGCAAAAAAAGTGAATATCCATTAGCGTGCCATATAGATCATACGTATCGAGCCCTGAAACTGACTTCGAATATACAGTGTCTTGCATCTACAAAATTCAGAAACATAAAATCTGTAAAACCTAAGATCTCGTCTCGGGATGTGCCCAATATGATGCGACCTTCCTTACATTAAAGCAGGTCCATCGTATTTTATATTTCAATTCCGTTCTGAAAATATTTTGCAAAAATCTGATAGTATTTGGCGAAAATCTGCAGATTTGGCAAATTTCTGAGAAATGTGGCACAGTTCTGACAGTATTCTTGCATAATTTTGTTATATTTGACGAAATTCTGCTTTAACTTGCCATATAGCGCACGCTTTTAAAAAGTGCCGATGACGTTCACAATAGAGAGATCTTTACTGTAATGTGCAACTAATAGTATAGAATACGATGATTTACTATGAAGAATAACAACTTCATTATTCTAAAAATGACATACGGACAGATTTCAGAATTGAAATTTTCAGGGTGATTTAGTATAACGACGTTAATATTAGAACCTATGTCTAGAAAGTCTTGGCACAAAATGTTTGATCATTTTTCAGTCACTTAAAAATTATTAGTGGGAGTCAAAAGCAGTTAGTAAGATTCAGAATTTTTTGTTCTTTTCGAATACGGGCTCAGAACTTTTAGACTGGCTTTTGTTCGAGAGTAACGAAGGAATCTTTGAATGACCTAGAAAATTTGTATGAATGAAACAGGTGGGCCGAGGCTTCTGAACACAATGTTTGTTCGTGTTTGACCTGTTTGAAAGTATTTCAGACGAGTGAGTATTTTCTCTGAACACTGAACTAAAGTATTTTAGACTGAGCACTTCTTTACAAAATGTGATATGTACTAAGGTATAGCTGGAACCTATACACATTTTCTCAGTAACTAGCTTTTACGTAACAGCAAAATATCGATTTTGCAAAATTAGGCTGATATAGAAAAATGAAAATTTAGGTGCCTTCGTGGAAGACAAAAAGAAAGTCAAACAGTGTGCATTTTGTAGAATAAATTTTGCTCTACAAGCTGATATCAACGAAAGTTTCAACTTTTCGTTCACGTCAGATTAATAAGTATGTACGAACAACATTTTCGTTCAAACTACTTTCTTAAGCTCTTCAAAGATTCCTTCATTACTCTCGAGCGAAAACCAGTATAAACATTTTTGAGCCCATATTCGGAAAGAACAAAAAATTCTAAATCATACTAACTGCTTTTGACTCCCACTAATAGTTTTTAAGTGACTGAAAAATAAGCAAACATTTTGTGCGAAGGCTTTCTAGACATAGGTTAGATTAAGTTGATCGTACGGATCATATGAAATAATACCGAATCATTTGAGTCCAAATCCAGGTACTCGACATAGATCACGCAATGATTCACCCATAACATTGAGAAAGTTTAGTTGAGAATGAGCCAATAGTTGAAGATTATTAAACTCACAGAATGTTCGCGCGGCTCATTCGGATACATGCACCGGTATTCATCACAAAACGAAGTTCGTTCACGCCCCTTACCTAATTAAGCATTAACAAGTGCCATACACATAGGTAAGCCATAGGTAGAGCCTGGACTAACTCTTTCTCCACTCGTACATTCTGATTTGTGACGAGACCAATCGGCCGAACGGCATGCTTTGGAACAATAGCAAGTCCCACAATAGGGACAACGTTTGTTTGTGCTAGTCAAGACTTGACACTTTGCGCAGGTAGGCATGGCTGTGTGAATTATATGCTTGTTGTTCGTATCTTTCAACAACAATTGTATGTAAAGTATTTCTTTGATCAATTCCCTAAATGAAGAAGTGAGAGAATAGTAATTTTTCTTTTTACTTTCTTCTGATGGTTCGATTTCAACTTCCACTCACTATAGTTCTTTGAAAAATATATGTAAGTTCCACAAAATACTAATCAATAAGACACTTTCAATATCATGAAAAGATAACCCATGGTCGACAAATATGTATGGTAAAAAAATCTTTTGTAACCTATCGTTCTTTAAAAAATAAAAGTTTACTAAAAAGTATTATTCTGAACGGTAATCCAAATCTAGCTAAATATCAATACTTGTAATGTTTGCATCTCCATAATGATTCATCCGTTTGAACTGAAATTATTAGTTTCCTCATACCTCCGCTAGGTCTACTTACTGTGAAAATATTAGTCATTAGGTGAGAATGATTGACCAACGTTGGTCATGGCTTAGGTGCCATGGCTCCTAGGGTATAACGCACACACTTATATACGTATAGAAACAATACGAAGTTTAGGCGATTGAGTATTCACATATACTTATTACATAGTCATCTTATTCATATGATATAACTTCAAGAAAACTAGCTACTAAGCTGCTGCAACTTACTTAGGTAGTAATAACTTGGTCGAGTTATTCCATCGTTTTGAAAAGACTCATTGTATTCCATATGATTTCGTAGCTCTATTTATACGGAAAGAAGAATCACAACTGGGAAAAAACCCACTAGAGAATTGAGCAAGAAATCTACTCGCCAGTGAGTCGTTATTGTTAAAGGTGTCACCACATTTCAGACAGCTAACAGACAGAAACGTAAAAAAAATGGGTCATGTGAGTTCCATCTGTTATGATCTGCTCTCAATGACATCTTCAGCAGATCATAACTTGTATTTCTTTTATTCTTCCTTGTCTTTTCAGTAGTATTGTCCACTGTACATTAGACATGTTGTGCAACATTTTCTATTAGTCAATTTATCGCCTTAGTCAGATTTTGTTCTCTTCCACTATCTGCCTAAACTTCTTTTTCCGTTTTCTCTCTCTCGTTATTCTTAACTTTATCACCTACTATCAACACGTTTTCTGTTATCGTTGTTCACTTATATATTCGTTTAAACTTTAACAATACATTAGCGCAAAACCGACTTTTTATACGGGGAACAGAATTGGTCCAAATTTTTTTTCTGAAGAGCTTATTATGTGAATCGACGGGCAGCGAAGTATCTCTTGATTCAAATCACTTTTCGCATTTTGGCGCGAATAGTAGCGCGTTTTAAGTGGCGCCACTATTCGCGCCAAAATGCGAAAAGTGATTTGAATCAAGAGATACTTCGCTGCCCGTCGATTCACATAATAAGCTCTTCAGAAAAAAAATTTGGACCAATTCTGTTCCCCGTATAAAAAGTCGATTTTGCGCTAATGGTATACGTTCTAAAATTCGTAGTAGAAGATTAAATAGTCAAACAAGTTAAGGTAAGAAGTTTTGTTAGTCTTTCTCGACTGAATCCGGGGTCAAGGTTCCCTGAGTTGGATCCGAATATACGGATGTCAGCGTACCGAGAAAGCTAACAAGTGGGGGCCTGACCGATTCGCCAACTGGTAACTATTTTACGATATTAAATGCATTACAGTTAAAAAGAGCTTGTTCACATCACGTAGACACTAACACCACCTCCACTACTCATAATTTATATATATACATTGTAGTTGTTCGTTTTACTTGGATGTGAATCCCTTATTCTATCTCCCAAAGTCAAAGAGACTATAAAACCTTACGGAGAGATTAGAGTCTGATCCACTCTCAGTGAAGTACGACTATCCTTTGTTTTTTTACCAGAAATATCATTTTTTTTGTTAACTGACCTTACTTAAGCGCTTTTATTTACAGCAAAGATAAATCGCGCTAAGTGCTCAGTTTTTCTAGTTTTTTACGTAATTATAAACTACATCATATACTAGATAATTTATGGGTTTAATACGGAAATAAACTCGCCACAAAGCTATCTTAAGCTCGCATATGAATAAAGGCACTCGCAGCCAAATAAATTTAAGTAACGGAAAAATACAAGACATTCAATGTCAGCCTACACCTCGAAAACAAATCAGAAATATAACTCTGACCCATCACGAAACCACTGATACATTATACGATCTCTCACAACAATCAATCCAATTGCCACAACTATATACTAATTTTCTTCAATCAATCATGTCAGAGAACCAAGAAGAACAGGATATGAAACAATTACTAGAACTCAAAAAATACCAGAAAATAATAGAAGAAAAATATCTACAGAAAATTCCGGATTTAAAAGGGATAGCAGAAGAAAATCTAGAAGAATGGTTTTATGTTATCGAACAAATATTTACAAAATTACTTTATCCGCGAACCAGTTGGATATGTACGGCAATATTGTTTTTGAACCCGTCATTACGAATGCAATGATACGAAACGCTAAAAGCACGAATAAACTACAATGAATGGAGTACTTTCAAAGACCAGCTACAACAATATTTCGCAAACAAATTCACCTTGCCAGAACAAGGAGCACAAACATCAATAATATCAGAATCAACTACTCAATTAAATAATGATGAACAACTGCAAACAATCTTAGAAAAAATGAACATAAATGAATGATTGGAAAAACAAATTGATAAAATTCCAGCCTATCATACAAAAATGAATGCAACGACCTGCCTGCGGCAGCTTGTAGAAAATTTTAGTAAACTGCGATTAAACAACAGCCAAAAATTATTTTATACATCAGAATTATTAAGTCCGGAAGTTTATCTCTGGCTTGCGCAAAAGAAGTCTAAGTTACTAGATTTTTCCACATTTTGTGAAGAATTTTTGCTACAATACGACACAACATTATCAAGAACAAGAAATAATTTGGGTGCTTCTATTTCAACGGAACGGGCACCGATGGGGACAGTTACTTATTTAAAGGAATGTTCACCAGAGATAGGAAAAGCCTTTATACAAGACATTATAAAGAGTCCAAAAGTGTTTCATGCCGCGAACGAAAATGTTGTCACCTGGCTAGAACAGGTAGAACAGCAATTTGCATTAACGGAATAGTCGAATGAAACAAAATTGAAATATGTTTCAAATCAATTGAAGGGTAATGCATTGATATGGTTTAATGAACAAAAAGATATGTTTACATCATGGTCCGAATTCGTTGAAGTAATTACGAAAGCCTACACATCACCGTACAAGCATGATTTGACTTTTACACGTTTAGAACACTACAAACAAAACACTAACCAAACTGTCCGACGATATTATGTTGAAATTATCAAATTATGTAAAGAAAGAGATCCAACGATGTCCGATACAACAAAATTAAGACATCTGTTCTCTGGATTGGATTCAACATTACATTACGGAGTAAGGAAGAAAAATACGCGAAACAATTTTTGGAATTCGCTCAATTTGAAGAAGCTCTTAAGGGTTTAATCAGCACAACTGATAACAATAAATTACCACTGACACAACCGCTACACCGCCAATCATTTTACAATTCAATACACGAAAATGTACAAAATAACAACAATCGATTACCGTATAATTGACAATACAGAATGAATCCTCAACTTCAGCAACGTCAGAGTATTATTCACCTTGTCCTAATAATTCGGAAAACAACAATCTAATTAAACCAAATCAACAGCAAAAACGTTCAAACTGTTGTCATCACATTAAAAAGAAAATCATATTAAAAAGTTGATACAACATGTTGACGTTATTGAACAAAGGAAACAATTTGAAATCCTCCTCCTCCAGTACAATAAATTATTTGATACAAGCAAAACGACAATAGCAAATACTACAATTTCACATGCAATAGACACCATTCCACATCCACCACCGTGTTCGAAACCATACAGAATAACACAAGAAAAACATGAAGCATTATACAAAATGTGTCAGCAATTGATGGAATCAGGACTGATCAGTCCTTCCAACTCTCCGTACGCTGCACCAGCATTATTAACGCCTAAAAAGGATGGATCTTGGCGACTGGTAATCGATTATAAGAAATTAAACAAGATAACCTTGAAGGACAATTACCCATTACCCAATATAGAACACACATCACAGAATTCTGGTTCTGCAGAACCTTGGAATTGGGTACAAATACTTCACCAAACTGGATTTAAAGAGTGGATTTTGTCAATTCCGATACGTGAAGCAGATAAAAGAAAAACGGCATTTATTACTCCATTTGGATTAGACCACATTGACAGCTACACAGTATCCATTGATGCGACAGTTTACTTTTGACATCACTGACCTATACACTATGATCCCTCAGAAAGAGTCCGTTTCTGCTGTTTGTCGCCTTCTTTCAAAAACAAAAAATCACAAAATAAACGGTATAACGATAGACACTATAGCTAGAATGTTACGTTTCATACTCAGTAACTCATTTTTTGCATTAGGCAAAAAATATTATAAACAGATCAAAGATAGCGCGATGGGATCAGCAATGACCCAAGTACTAGCTGACATATACATGATGGAGTGGGAATACAACATTCTAGCAATGCAACTGCACGGAAAAGAAATATATCTGAGATTTAGAGATGACATATATCTAACCACGAAAAGATCTCTCTTTGACTTTGTGGACTTATTAAAAACATTCGATGCCAAAGACCCACACATAAGACTGACTTACGAATAATATTACGTAATATGAATACTGTCGCACAAATGTTAGAGATCAGAATTGGACAAGCTACCGACCACTCCGAAAACAAATTGACCCCAAAAAAGATTTGCTCCTTCACTTTTCATATGTACCTTCCATTTCACGCTTCGGACCAAAATTTTACCAAATGTGGACGGAAACATTTGAAGACACACCCCTCACAGATGTCCATCCAATTTTTGCAAATCGCCTGACTGAAAATTTAACTCAAATGCTTGTTCGTAAGAAACCATCCAAACAAATCCACCGTCCTCCACCAGACAGAATTTAAAGCATGTTAGCATGTGTGTGCTGCCGAATTCTTCTTACTAATTTTAGATGACCACCAAAACAAACAAGGGAAAACAGCTTCAACCATGTACCACAAACAATAATCAGCAAGTACAACAACCCAACAGTTAATTCAAATGCAACTCGGACACAATGCAGCGCTAAGCGGCAAGGTCACATACGCACTCTAGTAACAGTTATTTATTTCAACAAAGCAGGAGGAAATAGGAACGTATTTCCTTCTCCTTTTTATCGTTATCTTCATCATTTATTGCCAAAAACCAGCGAAATTTTTACCACGATAAATTTTCTCCAAAATTCTTGCCCTACTTACAAAAAATTATAAAGATAGACCAAGACTTACCAATGTGATCTTTCTCCACTGCACGATTTGCCATACCGAATGAACTGTTGATGTATGCATGAGATATATATACTGTCAGAGCGCCGTAATAAAAACAATTTCACTCTCTCATTTTTGCCACTCTCTCTTGAAAGACATTCCCCCATTTTTCAGAAAATTCTTTCACAAATTTCTCTCTCTTTGAAAAAATCTTATATAAGGCACACTCATTTCCAATACTAGTCACCAGTTCACAAGCATTTACTGACGAAGATGATTCGAAACGCGTTTAAATTCTTCTGAGTACATTTTCTGTTTTTCCTTTTATTAAATATTCGTCGTCGTTTTTACAAAGTACATATATTTTTTATACAAAATAAAACTAAAATTTCAAAAGATCTCTTTTCGTTATTATTTATTCAAGCAACATTCTCTTCTTATTTCTCGCGCTTTATTTCACCTTTCGTACTTCTCTTAGTACACAAAAAAATTAAAAAATCAAAAAACCAACTTTTCAAAAGAAATTTGGTAAGCTTTTCCTTTCCTTTTTGTTATCTTTCCGCTTTACTTCTCTTCTTCTTCGATTTATTATTAATTGTCAATCACACCCTCACCCTCATCCTCGAGCCAATCCATAGCATACAAAAAAAACAGATTTAAGGAATTATAGTCTTCGTCTTTTCCATAAAAATTGCTCTGACGAGTATACTCGTTGTTAACAGTCAAGTGGTTAATGACTTGGGTTCCAATATTTCCAAAATTTACTTGATCTTTTCTTTAAGTGGGGTAACAGTAGTTGAACTAATGCTGTGACCCAAATAGTCTAATTGTGATTGTGCCATTGTGCATTTCGGCGGGTTTAGTTGTAGGTTGTTTTTATTCAAGGCCACAAATACTTGTTTTAAATGTTCTTCAAAAGTTTGTGAATAAATGATAATGCAAGATATACCATTAAAAAATGTCAACAGTGCTCCAACACATTTGTCATGACTCGTTGAAACGTAGGTGGCGAGTCTTTGAGACCTTGTGGCAGCCCATTAGAGTGGTATAATCCAAATGGAGTAATAAATGCCGTTTTTCTTTTATCTGCTTCACGTATCGAAAATTGCCAAAATCCACTCTTTAAATCCAGTTTGGTGAAGTACTTGTACTCAATTCCTTGTACTCGCACCTTGGAAACAGAATTCTGTAATGTTTGTTCTACAATAAAAACATATCCATAAAATATTTTTAATCTGTTTTAAGAAACAATGGCTCTTTTATCTCTTCCGCTAGTAATTCAAGTACTTTAAGTGCTTTTAAAGCAATGGCTAGTTTCGGATGAGATGAGGAGGGAAACAAATGGTCGACTGCCGTTCGAATTTCCGAAGATGTTGTTGTTGGATCACTCGGATGCGCGGCAGCAAGACGGTTATTTTTTAATATTTGGATTGCTAAATGCATTTCTTCTATATTGTACCCATGTTCCCCGAGAAATGCTTTCAATTGTTCAATATGACGATGCGCCATTACCATTGACATCGTCCGACAAGCGGTGATCCTTGGATCTTCGATGATCTGTTCCAATCGGCTCATTTTGATGATTATTTGAGTTGCTACTGATCCGAGTAATAGTTCATCCTGCGAGACCTGCAATAACTCCATTTGACGTTTTAAATGACTAATTTCATTCTGTTGTTTATCAAGAATACTGAATAAACTATTGAAAATGTCTCTGATTTTTTGACATAATTCATGAAATTCTGCAGCATTTTCTTGCGACATCGATTTGTTGATTTCGACAGTTCAAGAAAAAAAGAATAGAAACAAAGGAAGAAGGAATATGTGAGGTCAACTTGAGAATTCGCTGAAAACCAAGTTGCTCATAATCTGGCACCTTGTAAAAGAATTTGTTTGAGTTTGCTCAACAATTTTCATACTATGAGAAAAACAGAATGCTCCTGGATCATCGTTATCCTGAAAATGTCATATTTCCTATGTTGTTTCTAAATGTAATTCTATTCTGGGTATGATGATGGGGTTCAAGTATACGTTCTATACACTTGTTCTTGACCAAATATACAAATCATACATTCTGACTATTTTGAGTTACGCAGATGTTATCTACTCATGCACGCCGAAGTCATCGTTGACGTCCATTTCACGGTTGCAGTATCGAGCGGCTATCCTAGTTTCTGGTGCATTCCATTTGTCCAGCAGGGAGAGAGTTCTAAAAATCTTGGGATGGTCTGACATTCAGGAACTCAATGAAATTCATAAGTTAACTCTGTTTCGCAAAATAATTAGAGGCGAAGCACCTGCGTATCTCACTTCCTGTATTCAAAGTAGAGAGACCGTTCCATACAATTTACGAAGATATGCAACGTTTAAGTGCTTTTCTTTCGATTCAGTGACAGCGGATAGATCTTTCTTCCGATTTACTACCCAGGTCTGATCAAAATTACCCCAACAAATAAATATCACGTCTTCAAAAGCTTTCCAAAAACAGCGTCTCATCCACTACGGATATTCTTTTTCTATATTTCGTGTTCATAATATCCCGAGAGCTATCGACGTGTTATACAGTAGACTCCGGGTTAACTTTTCTGTTTTGAAAGCTGATTTACGCAAAAAATCGTTGGCATAGACAATTCATGCAAATGTGGAGAGGTAGAGACTGTTCAGCATTACCTTTTGGATTGTGTGTTATATCGCGCTCAAAGAAAAACTCTCGTAAAAAAAATCTCAACGATAACAAACACTCTTACCCTCAGTCTTGACCTCCTTCTATTAAATGTAACACTTTCGAAAGAAGATTTTTTATGTATATATATATCATGCAGTTATAGAGTATATTTGTACTTCAAAACGTTTTTTAGAAGAACAATAGTATATTTATCTTTCTCTTTTCCTTGTTCTTTCCTCTCTCTCTCTCGCTCTCTGATCTCGAAACAGACCTCGATTAGTACTATATGAGGTCGGAAGGGAAACCGGGGGTCTGGAATCCCATAAAATCATGTGCTCTTTCATTCTAGACAGCTTTCGAGAAGATCTGAACTGGGGCCGATTCTCGTTCTTATTGCACCCCGTCCTTTAAGTACGGCGAACCTTCCCGAGTGTGCCTCCTGGGATGCCAATGAAATATACTCTGCTTGGTTAATTTAACAGTGCCAATTACGAATCTGAAAATCATTCCTGTCCTGGTTCAATGCTCCAAGGGTTACAAACATTTCATTTTCATACTAGTGAACAGTATCTTACTTTGAAAAAATCATAACTTTGATGGAAATATTCAACAGAGCTAGAAGGTATGCCATTCTACAGATAATAACGTCCTCTATAAAATGCATACATTTCAGCTTTAGAGAAAGATTGCTCATCGAGTTCAAATTTTCCTATAATGTTGCACTTTTTGAAAATACGGAAAATAAGAATATTCCTGATACGAGTGCTTGTTAAACAGTTCCAAATTTTCAACTAGCAATAAAACTCTCGTTTTGCAAAATCCTCAAATTCTCAAACTGCAATAAAATCCTCTATTTACAAAGTTCTCAACTTGCAGTAGAATTCTTACCGCTATGCACTATTCTCAAATTCCCAATTCACAACAGTATTCACGATTTGCAAAATTCTCAAATTCTCAACCTACGGTCAAATTCTCAAGCTAACGGTGGTAATAAATTCAATATAAGAGAACATTCTGGCAAAGCTCGATTCAGGTCCAAAGAGGGATCTGAAAGAATTAAGGAAAAGAGAAAGATAAATATACTATTGTTCTTCTAAAAAACGTTTTGAAGTACAAATATACTCTATAACTGC